GGGGGGGGGGGGGGGGGGGGGGGGGGGGGGGGGGGGGGGGGAGGGGCGGGGGCGCTATCGAAGGAGAATTCGATGAAGGTCTGGCTACTAGAGCAGCCCCTGATCTCGGCCCGCGACCTCACCGGGTATGTTTGTCTGTTTTCGATCGGCAGCACATCTATTCATCGGCAATGTATCGATGTTGGTGATGGTGGTGTCGCCGCTGTCGTGGCAGGCGATGTTGTTGGTGTTGGTATTGTTCATGTCGCAAACACCATCACCTAGGTAAGCTCTGTTTGCCACACACCCCTAGGCGGCAGCTCTATTCGGGGAGTTTTTTCTGGCATTCATTGTCAAACAACTCAGCCAAACCGTCCCTTGAACCACCTGCGCACGATGAAGCCATGTTGCCGCGTTTTCGGTCGCTCGAAAGCAGGATCATGTGGGGCTTTTTACGATTGGAAAACGAGTACATGCGCATCTACGACGACGGCGGAACCTGCGACATATTGGGGATCCCGGGCTCGGACACCGGCCCGGGGGCGGCTGGAGGATTCCAGCACATCCCTTCGTGCTCCAGCGTGTCGACGATGGCTAGCTCGATCAACAGCAGCAACATTTCCTCTTCGATCGGCGGGAGCGGCAGCGGATTGGAGTTCCCATGATGGGAGGAGGCCTCGGCGGCAGCAGGGGGGTGGGGTTGGGTAAGCTCCCCTATTCGCGCATGGAGATGCCGCCGTCCGTCGTCGGGCGGTGTAATCGGCATGTTGCGCCGCGCGACTAGCCCCTTGAGGGCGTGGTGCTTTATGAAGGTGAGAGCGTGAGAGAGCAATGGAGACGCAATGATAGGTCGTAGCAAAGGGGTCAATTGTCGGTCATAATCGTTCCGTCCGTGCTATCTGTTACCCCGGATTTCGGTCACAACAAATGGAGAGCCACTTTCAACGTTTGGAGTAGTAGTCTGGACACCAACTCCTACGTCGTGGGTATGAGGGAGCGGGTCTGTACGATGTAATCGTCGCTAGGTAGAGGAGCTATCGTCGTTTCAACCTTTTGTTGTTTCTTGTTTTCTGGAGGTTTCGCCCAATGCGGGGCTTCCTGACATCGAATCTCTCTCCCCGAGCGCGTGACCACATCGATAACAAGGGATACTTCGCATGTAATATTTTCACTCACAAGCATCGTGAGGCCACTCGCCTTGTGTTCGTTCCAATACTGCTGTGTTTGATCGCTTGCTTGGGGTGGTGTTCGGACACAGGTGAAGCACGCATCGCGCTGCCGACTGCTGACCGAGCTCTGCGCCTTCTCAGTCGCGCTGGTGTTCGTCAACTGTCATGACACGTGCATGATGGCGATACTGCTGTGTCATGAAACGCCTCCACGTCTGGCATGATTTGGTGTCATCGTTTTAGAGAGTTTCGTGTCATGGCGGTTTTTGGACGTTGCTGGGTTATTTTTTGCTTGTGGTCGTCTGCACAGCGCTGTCCGCGTAAGTTTTCCTTGGTAGTGAGTGCCCCGTGTCTGATCCTTGGTCCCCTTGACCTGGCGGGGTTGGTTGAATGGTCTGACGGCACGTTGCAAAGCGAGCGGTGGATACGCGAACAGATAGGAGAGACAGATATGGCAGGCAAGTGGCGGTTGGAGCAATAGTAAAAAGCGATTGGGAGATGTATGATGACTCACTTACCGGAGGTTACTCTGGCTTTCGTTTGGTACTGTCGCTTGTGGGGCGGGCGGTGGATTTATTACGCGTCCCGGAGGGAGCGAGTCATTTGGGTATTTCCGTTTTTCGTTGTTGATCGCGATATGGCTCAATCGTGAGAGGTACAAAAAAGAGACTATGGCAGCTTATCTGTTTGTGGTCTGGTTTGGGTCGTCTAGCGCAGGGCACCTCCTCGTACTTTGTGCACAGCGGCATCGGCGCACAAACGACCTCTTTCTCACGTGTTGACCGAAACTTGTCATTCTGATCCGATGCCTCCCCTTGACTTGAAAAAATACACAGTACATGGTGAGGTTACGCACTATGCATGCATCTTGTTGGTGCCGGGGTAATCAGTCGTCTCACAACAGCCTTCGCACCAGCACGGGCTGAAATTAATTAGGGACCAAATGTGATGTTTTGTTTCACACCTCCCTGTGCAAATGTAAAGGTGAGGGCAAGTGCATCCGGATCATGCGGAACATTACAGGCACAGGTCTTCTTGACGCATGGTCACGTGGTATTGGCTGTTCGAACATAGAAGAGCCAGATCGACCAAACGGCCATTACATTCATGATAGAGTGAATCCAAAGAACATCTTCGCCCACGTCGGAAATCCCTTTCATGTTGGAAATAGACACCAGAAAAAGTCACCACTTACACTATTTTCTACTGCCTCCGCCAAAATCGTTGCCACCGAAAAACGCAAAACCGCCTACCGCCACAACAGCTACCACCACCGCCGTTTTACATGTTAATCCCTTCACCAAAGTCGCGAGAAAAGGCGATTCTGATGCTCTAGCTGTCGAGACCCCAACTCGTTACACATGCTCCGGGTAAGGAGGACGGCGGGGGGGCGTCCTCAGAATTACCGAGCAGCGAACATTTCCTCATGACCCACCACACCATAGCGTCTGGTACCGTCGTAAAACATATTACTGCAGCCAGTACTTGCTCTTCGTTCCGGCGTGCTTGGTTTCTGACTTTGCTACCTAGTTGAACTTCCCCACAGCCACACGCTGACAACCATCCCAAAAACGACGAAACGCTTCAAAAAAGCAAATATTAAAACATCCCCCTCCGAAAAGTCCGGACCTCTTGAGAAGAGGTCCTTCGCCGCTCAAACACATGAGTCACAACTTACAAGCCGCGAAGATACGAACTGTGTTCTCACGGAAACCTTGGCGGGGAAAGAAGAGCCTATCGCTCAGACTCAACCTCGGAAATATTCATATGCAAGCACACGTGGAACGGAATACCCTGCGCACGCACCCACGGCCTAACGCAATTGCCGTGAACGCGTTAAACACATGTTCAGCTAGACGTGTTCCTTCTACGGGCCAAAACCTAATGCGTATAAAACGCTGTCTCGGTGATGTACCGCGAAACGCCCCTCTGCACGATCTTCTTAAATGCATCGCTTCATCGATACCGCGAAAGGCTCCACCCTGCAAATCGAACCAGATGTAGCCGAAACCATGGGTGAATTTATCACGAAAACCTTCGCGCCGACGAACAACCAATGGCTCAGACTTAGCTTCGGGAAAAATATATATGCTAGCACGCGTAGAATGGAATACCTTGTGCATGACCATTACGCAATAACATTACGCACTAAGCACACGTGCAGTCAAAGGTGTTCATTCACCAAGTGCTACGGACCAAAACCTACCAAAAAACACCATCAACCTACTCCACGATTTCCCTGCAATGGTGTTAACTCAACTAAGTGCTACGGACCAAAACCTACGATTAAACGCCATCACCGAGACCCAGAAACGCCCCTCTTCACAACCTTGTCGCCTGCACCGCCTCATCCATACCGCCAAATACACTACCCTGGAAATCGAACCACAGAAGCCAAAGCGAACACCGCCTGCCGCCTGCTGGCACGTGTGAAGAAAAACGACAAGCGTACAGAACAAGACGACCAACATACACCCACGGATAAATCAGGAAAAACCTCATTGGCGTTGCCTCGCAACACCGCTCGCAGGCACCTTTGTTCTGCCCCAACAGCACACAAGAGAGATTACTGTTCTGTGGCAACTTCATCGGTGTACAATTTACCGCCTTGCAGTCAAATTAAATATCACTCTCAGAGTGTTACACATGGCGGAAAGCGGGGTGGCTGCCGCCTCCGATCTGCAGGGAAGCGCGAGAGGGCGAACCACGAAAAAAAAAATTGAAGCAAAGAAACAGCGTGAATGGTGAGGAGACCCAGGGCACCGCTCAAGTTACAAGGTTTAGATGATAGACCGTCGATTGCAAAACGGATGTACAAAAGTGGGAGGGCCAGCACTGTACGTGTTGCTGCTAAAGGTTCGGTCTTTTCTCGATGTTGCTGCTGCTACTCGGTGTTGCTAACCTAACTCAAAGCAACCCTGCAAATCTTCTAACACGACAACGCACGCGCAAGTGCACCATTTCCAAACCACTACACACACGCTAACCACTGCACGCTAAATAGTACTCACACATGACCGCTATTGAACGACTCACGCGTATCGCTGGCAGAGGCCTAGGTCCCACGCAATCACAACACATACCAATCAAACTCCAAACAAAAACAAGACATAACCATCGCGGCATCGAAGCACCAACAGCAGCGCACGCTCCCAACCAAGCACACTCCGACTATCGCCTTCAACCTGCACCACCGTTGGAGTGGCCTAACATCACAAGCACAACACACGGCGTGGCCTTCATGTCCACGCGTGGCTTTCCGATGTTCCTCGCGCAGCCCTTTCCCGCTCTCCCCGCCACTGCGCGGACATGACTGCTGCGGTCGAATGGCCCACCAAATAAACCCTACACCGCGGCGGAACCTCCAGGGGTCCTGTGAATCTGGTGGGGGTAACCACCCGCACCCCTGCCTCCGGCCACCTTCTCGTCTCCCGACTGCTCGACGGCCGCCTTCTCCCGGCTCTCGAAGTTGTCAAGCAGACGGCCGCCCGTTCTGGCGAGGAGGTAAAAGACGATGCCGCCGACTAAAAGGATTGCCGCCGAGGAGAGGGACAGCTTCCTGCAAGGCCAG